CAAGCAAAAAGGCGATGGCATTCAGGGTGTTGTGGGTGCGATCTGCGGCAAATGTTTTCAGGGTTCAGGGTTATAATAGGGAATTTATTGGGATAATGGAAAAGAAAATGGAAACTACTATATTATGGAGGGTTTTATAAGGGTTATATAGGGAATATATTAACCCTAAACCCTAGACACCTAAACCCTAAACCCTTGAATATATACTGTAGGGTTAAGGTCTTAAGAGCCATCCTGTGTCTGTCCCTTGAAGCTGCTGTCACGCCCTGGGGGGTACTCACTTCCTTGTCCTTTGCGTCTTTATCATGGCTACTCCCAATGCATTGGCATATGTTATGGGAATTATTTATTTATGTTTGAGACGCAGGTTATGATTAGGGGACGTTACCTTCCTTCCTCCTGTGCTTGCGCATCCGAAAAGACAGTTGTTGATGAATTGCCGTGCAGGGTTAGAAGAAGTGTTTCCTGTTCCACAGCGTCCATGAATGGTCCGGCTTATTTCTGCGCATTTTCCTGGGCGTGCAGTGCAGCTTTTGTTCTTGGAGCTCAGGCTCGGCAACCTCAGAAAGGAGCATTTCGAAGCAGCCTTTGCTGGCAAGGTGCTTGAGTTGAATCATGGTGTTTTTCGAGGCGACAGATAGTCATCCCGCAGGCAGAAGGCGGATCAACCTGCTTCAGGGGCTGAGAAGGGGATCCCATAAAGCCAAAACCTGATGTGTCCTGCAGCTGCAGCCCTTAAGTCTTGTTGCGCCTCAAAACTCACACATTTTCTGAACCTTACACATCCCTCTCATGCTGATCCTCAAACATCCCCGTTCTCAACGCACTCCGGAATCCCAATCCCGGATCATTCCCGGACTGTTTCGTCTCATGCGCAGGTCTTTGGAGCTCAGAACCTTTGGGAGGAATGCGGGCCGCGGCTACAGCAGAGGCAGGGCCCAGATTGGCCTTCCTTGTTCTATTTTTGTGTGTATAGCCACCATTATACTACGAATTGGAGGGTGAAAAGTGTAGGTCGCATCCTCAGAGCTTTCTTTCCAACATCTCACGGCTTCTGCCCCCCTAGAACCGTTCTGCACGGATGGCAGAGGTTTCTCTGTAAGCCGGGGCAGGATTCCAGGGTCCGCTGACACCATCTTAAGGCTTCCTTTTCTGTAGCGGCACCCTTGGCTGTTCCGCAGCGTATGCGCTTGCTATATTACTATTACTATTACTATATTACTCTATTATTCTATTACTATATTTCTATATTACCATATTACCATATTACCATATTACCATGTTACTCTATTACTATATTGCTATTACTATTCGGATCAGGGATGTGTTTTATAGGCAGGGTGGTGCATGGACTGAGGACCCCGGCACTCTGGAATGACTGGGTTGCTGTTAAGGAGCTTAAATTAAGTTACCATAATGGGTATACATAGTAGTTAATATGGTTTCCCCAATATAGTAAATGTAGTTAAGTTCACTTGATTTTGAGTTCCTTAACAGCAACCCAGATAAAGAGAGGATGCTTTGGGGAGTTTGCAACATTTGGAGTTGGCTTGAAGAGTCCGACAGTCCCAATGCAGTCGCAAGATACGCTCTAGGATTCATATAAATACAATTTTTTATTGTTGGTTGTATTTTTGCTATAACCCCCATTATATGAGGATAATGAAAAGAACATCGAAACCACTATATAGGGTTTAGGTTTTAGGGGCAGATCATATTCCACAATTTCAGCGCCCTTACCCCTACCTCCAAGCCTTAATCCTAGCTTGCCAACCGGTAGCAACGAGCAAGATGCACCGCCACAAACCGCGAACCATCCCTAGAGCACTTACTGCGGCGCAATTCCTACTGAATCCTCATATAATTCCCAAACTGCATATTCCCCTAAACCCTAAACCCCATATAGTAGTTTCCATATAATCCCTCAATGAGCTATAGTCTAAACTCCTGTTTCCCCCGTTCTCATTCCTATACTCCCCTATATAGTCTTCTATATTATCCCCTTTAAGGAGTTTTGACTATAGCTCAAATAGCCCTTTCAACCACACACCAGTGATGTCTTCCTCGTGGCCTCCTCCGTGGTGGCTCTGCTGGGTGGGCCAGGACAAGGCCAGCAGCTCTTCTTTGTAGTGACTATGTGAGCTACAGTCTAAACTCCTTAAAGGGGGTTATTTAGGGGATTATATTGGGGAGCATCATAGGGGTTATTAAGGGGGATACTAGGAGATAAGACTATGGCTCATATAGGGGTTCCATAGGCAGTTTATAGGGAGTATGGAGGGATTACATATGGATAATCAACAATGAAGAACCAAATGGAAAAGAACATGGTGAATGACATGCAAAATTGGGTGACATAGTAGTTTGCGGGGTTGTGGGCGAGGCAGGGAGAAGCTTAAGTAGTGATCAGGGAACGTCCCATCTAATTACTATGACGAATAGCGCTGGTGTTTCGCAATATGCCTCCCTAGAGTTCTTGAAGCATGGATTGTGACTTGTAGGGAACAGTTGGGGCTCCAAGCTTGTTGTGCAATTTACGGCTCACACTTCAAGGTTGGATGTGTACATGGCTTGGGGTTCACCTACATGGGGGTAACATGGGGGTTTTAAGGGAGAATGGTAAAAATGGAAACAACTGTTTAGGTTATTGTCTACAGACGTGGAGCAGGCCTCTGAATTGCATCCTTGGCAGTGGCCTCAGGCATGAAATTGTTGCACGTGTCCTGAAGCGTATGGTGTTGCTTCAGCGAAGACATTATTGTCACCAATATTACTATTATGACTATCACTATTATTATTAGTATTATTACTACTACTACTACTATTGTTATTGCTATTATTATTATTGTTATTATTGCTACTGCTGGTACTATTGTTCTTCTCATTACAATTATCCTTTACCATTATTGCCCTAAACTTGCCCCACAGCTTATCGGAGGTGCGTATGCGGCTGCCAACTCTGCTGTGGAGCAACTCGCGCAGGTCCGCTGCTGTGTGATCCTCTGGGTTGCTGTTAAGGAGCTTAGATTAAGTTACCATAATGGATATTTTAAAAGGTATATAGGGGTATATGGGGTATGCAGGGCATGCAGGGTAGATAGGGTTTAGGGTTGCCATAATGGGTATAGATATATATATATATATATAGAGTACGTAATGGGGTTTCCCCAAAATAGTAACTTGAATTAAGCTCCTTAACCGCAACCCAGAGGTGTCAAGCCCTTGTGGTAATATTCAGAGTCCTTACCAGCGTGGTCTTCGTAATGTGGGGCATGTTGGACAAGCTGGTTTCTTCTTTTAGTATCAGACCCATGGAACCTTGTGATTCATGCGTCTGTGCCATGACGTGCGGGGCTGAGGCGTTAAGTTTGTAATGCGCAGAGCAGGCAAGAAATCAAACTACGGGTGTTGCCCTATGTATACAGTTCATTGATTGAGCGTCATATTTAAGCCTCACATCTTTCTGCTTCCAGAACAGCAGGCAAACGACCTGTGCCACCCTCTCAAGGCTCGAAGCGTAGCGGTGCGGGGGCTAACAGGAGTCTCCCAAACTGCGTCAACCGTCGAGCCAGCTTGTAGCGTGATTTCTTCCCATGCCCCAAAACATACCCTAGTAGCAGGGATGTCTGCTGGCAGAGTCCACGCTGACAAGATGTGACGGCTGAGCAAGTTGTGCGCCAGCCAGAAGACCAAACTCTGCCGTTGCCATGCGCAATGTTCTTGATTCTGCCGACTAAAGGATATCGTGCAAAGGTCAGTTCAAATTCTTGACACGGGGCTGTGTGCAAGTCGCCATGTCGGCTGCCGTCTACGCCGTCCATGCGGCTCGATGGGCTCGTACAAACCAGCGGGCCACGATCCAGGATTTCCAGGACCAGAGAGAGTTCAGGGCAGAACTAGTTCAATTCATCACGGTGAGCATGGGACCTAGCTTAAACGGCTGGCATAGAACATCATTGAACAGTAGTACATTTCGTGGTTGCAGCGTCCCAGCCCTGACACGCAACTTAGGGACAATTGGCAGCAATCACCTTTCCCAATGTTCAGGCAGCAAGACTGCAGGCTCTTACGCTTCAGGGAGAAATTGTTGGTAGCGTGTGGGCACGTTTGCAGCATGAGCTTCAGAAGAACTCACCGGCTTTTATTCCTTCACTGAAGCCATGGCATCTAGGATGCTGGAACCGCTCTTCTGTTCTCCAGCAGTGAGAGCCCTACATACTCAATCTACCCAATCCACATCTACCGAATCCACCGGAACCCATACTCCCGGACAAAATACCCCAGTGCCTGGACCAAGCTTGTTCACATTCAGGACCTGGGAAGCGAGATCTTCAAGAGGCCAACATCTTCTAGAAGATTCTGGGAGGGTTTACGGTGTAGGGTTGTGGCTTACGGAACTTAAGGCCGGGATTGGCACCCCAACCCTGATATCCAAAGACCCCTAGACCGCAAGAGCCTGCAGCCATTCTCTGTGCAGAGAGCCTTTAGTCAGGCCGATTTCCAAGCTAACGGATAGGGCGCCAAGCTATTTGGGGGCTTAGGGCATGGAATTGGCAAGTTTTGGGGATTGCTGAGGGTGGGTAGTTTCGGGAAGCGGGTTTTAGGGCCTTAGGGGTGGCCACTTTGCTTGTCCCCAACTGGAAAAACACCTTGTGGAATGACCAACAGAGGCTGGCAAGCAGCTGTCCTCCCAATGATCTTATAGGGCTTATTAATGGGGATACTAGGAGTTTAGACTAGCTCACTCGATCTTGCCATACATGGCCTCAGTTGCTCATCTTTAGTCCCCTTAGTGCACGAAGATGCCTGTCCACCTCCCCGTTCATCGAAATCCTGACCCCGCAATCCCAAACAGAAGCTCTCTACCGCAACTCGAGACTCAAAATCCGAGCCCCAAGCTCTAAGTCCTCTAGCCCTGAGCCCTCAACCTTGCTGTCAGGCTGTGTTGGGCAGCAACACCGAAGTCCCCGAAGCATTACTCGGATGTGGTCTACAACAGCATGCTGAAGGAGTGGGAACAGGAGCAGGCCAGTCTTTCAGCTTCAGTGAAGGCAGTGAGGCAAGGATGACATTCAGTGGAAAAGTGGGGATTGCTCCAGGTCCGTCTTACCATTGTTCAAACCCCGCTGTCACGATTGGAGGTCGCAACATTTGGAGGTTCAAAAGGTTTGTAGATGCACGGTGCATGAGAATGAGAATCTGTTGTGTGAAGGAGCCTTGCATGATCCTACCAGCATTCACTCACCTAAGCAGATTCAATGGTGTAGCAAGAGGTGCTTCCTGTGGGCCCGGAAGATCATCCATGAGAGATTGTGTAATCTTCATCATGCTTAGTCAGAAGGCTGGAATAGGTCATAGTGCTCGTCATTATGCGAATGCCGCTGATTTCGTTGAGCATCATTGTGTGGGTTTTGTTTTTCAAAGTGAACTCATACTGACACACGGCCAACACACATCTCATCGTGACGCTCCATGATTGGCTCCTGCTAAACGCAGGCGCGGATGCTTGCTCGCTGTTGGCGGGGTCGACTCAAGGCAGCAGGGCTTGAGACTTGTCGCGTGAGATCCAATTATCAAGACACTTTGTTTCAGCTTCTGCGGTTGTTTGCTGCCACCTTGCATCAAAGAGCATTCCTTGGTTTCAGAACTGTGTGTGTGTGGAGGCATAGTGCGGTTGGAAATTCGACATGACGTTGAGATCTCCAAGACTGGTAGCAATCACATGGACGTCCAGTATCTAGCCTAACTTGCAGCTAGCGTGTTGCGAAGATGCAGTCAGAGTGGATGTACGCCTTTCACAGTGAGAGCTAGGTCTAGAGCTCGCTTCCATTAACGCTCCTTTAATTTCACGCCCTCAACCAAAGTGTTGAGAAAGGACATCGCAGTTCCTAGGTTGTGTTCGAGACAGACGGAGCCGGACATTACAGTGCACTACGCGTAGGGCGTTAACTGCATATACGGGCTTCAAAGAGTTTAGAGGTGCCTCTTTAGGATTTCATTGGGATCAATTGTCTTCTGAAACGCTCCCTTCAAATGGGTTCCGGTTCCGGAAGGTAGACAACAGATGGCAGGTTATCACGTTCAGAGCCCAAGCGCAGTGAGAGAGCGAAGATCAGAGCATGACACAGCGTAAACGTGTCTGAACAGCACACGTGCATTTGACCTTGCGATGATCCACTGGCACGCAGATCCCACAGATGTTTTGTAGCTTGTGCTACCACCTCAGCCCTCATCCCCAGCTCCTAAGTCCTAGACCCTAATTCCTAAACCCTAATCCTTAAAACTTTCCGCATTTCGCCTTTGGACAAAGGCTCGATAAACACCTAACCCTAAGCCTCAAACCCCAAGCCCTACTCTGCCTTGTACACCCCAAACAAGCCCAGAAGCTGCGCAGGGTCTTCGTTTGGAGGTCCGTACCCGTGCTAAAGCTGTCCATCAGTGGTCCACACGTGACCTGACCTTGGAGGAGGCTGTTTGTGTTGAGGGAATTTCCATACATGGGACCCCCAATATAGACCCCATTACAATACCATCCTAGTTTCTCATTTGTGGAAATCCCCCCTATGGTACTTCGAAGTAAAAGTTCATGGTACTTAGTTTTGATGGGAGCAGGTGCAATTAGATGCAGACGCATACGGCGTGCCTTGGGATTGCTGAGTGAGGCCTAGGGTCTGTGTAGGCGAAAACTTACGAGTGTGTATAGCCCTGATGTCATGCCTTGATGTACTTTGTGATCATGCTCAAATATTACCGAAGCGCCGAGCGTGGGCTTTTGGGTGGGCGGAAGCTGGGATATTCAGGCCCACGCCATTGATGGCAAAGCCCGCCCTGAATCAAATTATCTAACTGCCTGCAGTCAAAGGCTGAGAGTCAAAAAGGCAGCGCAATTTTGGGTTCAAAGTTTTAGAATTAGACACATGTTTCAAGCCCCAGCCATAAAGCTCTCCTGAGACCCCAAACCCAATGTCTTGTCACAAGGTAACCCCATCACAACTTCGAGCTTGGCGGGGCTTTTTTCAACGGGCGTGAGCAACTTTGCCAACAGCAGCCTTTGCCTTTGGGGAGGATTTAGGGCTGAAGCTTTTACCGTAGCTTGGGATTTGCTTGCAGATTTCATGTCCAGGTTCTTGGTTCTTATGCCGAATGAGGGCCATCATGTGGGAGGGAAACCTGCGAGACCAAAGGGCAAAGGGCTCCGTGGTCGTGATCGAGATCATGATTGCCTACATTCCTGTTCGCATTCGTACCGTGCTTTGCCTGGTATCCGTCCTGATCTCTGCCGTTCATGTCACATTCGTTTCTTCAGCAAAGGGTTTGCAGTACTCAGTAGTGCTGTTGTTGTAACTGTTGCGGTTTTCTTCTGACCTTTTGTCAGCTTGTACTTATGTTGGTCCTGCTTCTTCAGCGCTCCTCACAGTCGTACAGTAGGAGTATATTGGGACCCAAATTTGATCACCAGTGATTATCCGTGGTGTTGACTACTTGAGTCATGCAAAGTGGGCCTTGTAGGCGCCAAGGGCCTACGTAGCATGGCCGCGCAGGCTCATTTAGGGTTTAGAGGGGCAGGGTTTAGATCCCGCGGTAGCCTCAAAAGCCAGATCCAGCTAAACTGAACGTAAGAAGCCAGTCGAAGGACCCAAGAAAAATGCCACTAGCACCCAGCACCCCGAATCCAAGAAATTGGCCGGAATTAGAGGAACCAATACAGGAACTCGGGAACAACAGGAGGTCATAGGTTTTTAAACACGAAGAGCTTTCGAATTATGAGTCAGATGGTGTTTTGGAACTCCTAGGAACAGCCGTCCACACCAAGCGCAAATCCTGAAGCGTACAGTCCTTTCAAGGTCTCCTGCGAGCTTCCAGAATGAACGCTCATCCCCTAATATTGGATCCTCCCAAGATAGTACCCTTATACGATGTTGTTTTATTACTTGGCGGGGCAGGGGGTGTACTCATTACAGATCAACCAGGACCACCTTCCCTCTGCACAAGGTATTCTGAAATCTAAATGGTACCAGATCTAAACTGCAACATCTGAATCTCCACGTGCTACAAGATTCCTTGCCCTCAAATTCTAAGGTGACTTTCTGGTGCAACGCTGCTTTGAGAAGCGCGAGACCATAGATCTACGCCGCAGCACTATTATGGGTGCCTGGGAGTGAAGGTTTGGGTTTCAGCTTTCAGGGTGGAGAGTTTTAGGTCGAGGTTGGAACGTTCAAGCTTCCAGTTTCAAAGCAGGCATCAGAGTTATAGCTTGGATTTCTTTGTGGCTAACCAGGATACTCACCCTGTGTGGCAGGCTATTGTGTCCCTGATGTAAGGTTTGCGGGTTGAGCGTTTGGATGGGCAAAGACAAAGACCTAGGGCTTTCGGATTCATGTTCAGAGTTGCGTGCGTATGGTGCGGGGCTGTAACCCAACGATTCAGAGCTAGTGGTGAAGACTGCAAATTTCGATATCCTGCCTCTTTCGGTGGCTCCCCGTCCAGGTCTGTTTGGACTCGGCTACTGCGGCTTTCTCCAGCACTTTCTCTACACCGGCTTTTGGCCAAATGTCCTCAAGGCAGGGGCCATAGAAGCGGCTTTCGGGCGTGGATTGGGGCGCAGCTTTCTTTAATCGTGCCAAAAGTATTCCAAACTCGGGAGATCAGATTTGCGAGATCATGAATTTGCATACATAAAGTTTCCACAAAGGACATACGCTAAAGGATGAGCAAGAGGGAGACAGGGCACATGGAGGGTCAAACTGGGACGGTGAGCCTAAGCTCCTTGTTCTCGATTGCTCACTGTTCGACCTTCACCTGGCGGCATAGAATCTTTTTGCTCGTGCACATTGCTTGCTTGACGCTCTATGTCGAAGTAGGTTGCCGGTGGCCAAGGCAATCTAGCGCTCACGGAAGGTTCAAAGTCGGCAACCCAACAATCTGCAAATTCCAGAAAGTCATGTGAGCCTCGAAGTCGAAAGCTAGAGTGATGATCTTGCTGGCAATGGTCTTGGCTAATTCCCCCGCACCGCCCCCCCAACCCCCTGCGCCCATCCCCCCACCCTCCCCACCCCCCCATCCCCCCCATCCCCCCCCACCCCCCCATCCCCTCACTCCCTACCCCCCAACCCCTACCCAACGTACAAAAGTCTGTTTTGATGGTGAGTTTTTGGTGAGTGCCTCTACAGTTGCTCTACTATTATCTTGCTCGGAACTGGATGTTCAAATGGGGAGACACGAATAAACCGCGGGCTAGGTGGCCTTAACAGCAGGGGGAGCCAGAGGAAGAGCATGACGGATAGTTTTTCATCGGCCGAGTTTCTGAAAATTGGGCTTCGTATTTGTGTTAGCCCGGTGGGCCATAATGGGGGAAAGAAGTATTGCTTCGTAGTCTCTTATGGCTACTGGGCACAACAAGACAAGCCCTCAAGACCCCAAGACCTCTCCTAGAATCCTGCTCCAACACCTTCCCTTACTGATTCTTAGTAGGGAATTCGGGAACATGTTTTTGAGGGGTGTCAAAGAGATTATATTCCTTTATTCCCTACCAGCCCCAGCAAGTTTCTGTGTGGAGGCTTCCCGACTTAGTGGGGCCAAAGCCGTGGCCTTCCAGGTCTTTGGGGATCAAGGCGACCTGGTCCAACAGGGGAGTTCTCAGGAATTCACGGTGTCAGGATGTGTCTAGGAACTTTTTGGGGCCAAAGGTTCAGGTGCTTTGACATGTATGGCTTCACGTCCTACATTTTGGTAGTTTCCCAAAATAGGGGGACCCCAATATAGACCCCAAAATATTATAGTCCTTATTATTAGGACCCCCAAAAAGGTACCCCTAATTTGGGGAAACCCCCATTTGAGCAAGAGGGACAATAGCCATGCCAGGTTGACCCTGTACTCCCCTACTAAGTGGGTTCTATGGTTGCTGTAGGAAATCTTGCACCAACTTGACTCCCTAAAGTCCTGGGAATTACGGTGGTTTAGGGTCTTGCATCAATAGTAGTTTGGCATTTTTTCTTATTGGTGGGGTGCAGGAGCTTATTGTTAAATAGAGGGCGTGGATTACAACTGATTTCTGTTCTTACCCTGTAGGTCGAGCACACTCTTGCCTCACGACGGGAAGCGCGCTTTAAGGGTCTGTCGTTGCCAGGGGAAAAGTATTTTGAAGTCCAGATTTTGTTACTGGCTTCGGACATACATCTTTCCCACCTGTGGCCACGGCACAGCTTGACCAGCCCAGGCATCTACATGCCCTTCGCGTATCTCCCCCTCTTCTACGCAGTGAAGGACATGCGGGCCCTGCAAGTAGTGAAGCTCTAAGATCTCGGATACACCCCATGCGCGGGACTTTTCTTATGCTCGGGCCAGTATCTATTGGATCATTTCGCTGCACTCCCAGCTGCGTGTCTTGCAACAGTGTAACGAAGCTGTGCAACAATCATGTGAGCTCACATGCAGGCTTCACGTTAGGATTCCTGCAGCATGAAGCCTTCTCACTGAGGGCAGCAGTTTTCCTTTGGTCAACGGAGCTCAAGAAGCATCTTCCCAGCGGAACCTTGCGGATCTATTGGGGAAGCCTAGTCAACTCCTCACGCAGCTTTTGACACCTGGAATGGTGATCGTCATGAGTGCAGTTCTGAACGCCACGGCAGGAGTGGGCTAAACCGACTGGGCTTCTCGTCACGATGTCTGAGGCCGCGTTCGGCTTTGTCTGACTGGGGTCACATTTCGTTTCCAAGTGAACTTATTCATCACCTGTGTGAGGGTCTTTTTGCCAACGCCCTTTCCTTCCTTTCATGCTGTGACATGGAGCAGTTGAAGCGTTATTGTTGATTGGTCTGCAAATACTTGGCATGACAACGCACGCACAGACGAGCTGATATGATATGTGCGGCGAGGTTCCGGTCAGCTAAGGATGGTTCAGAATCATGGCTTAGCAGAGGATTGACAAACTACTGACGCTTGACAGTCTTTGCCGTTGTTAGCCCGTTGCCTGGGTGCTCCGGCAGTGATCTTCCTGGTCCATGTTGCAAACAGAGTGGGGAAGGGCAGGAAGTCGTGAAGCCTAAAGCCTAAAGCCTAAACCCTAAACTTGAAACTGCAAACCCTGCACCCTAAGTGGCGCCTAAGCAGTGTAGTGGCAGGCAGCCATGGTTGGGGCGACTCGTTGCTGGGAGAACCTGTCGTCGGACCTTCAGCCTCCCGGCTCCTCAAAATGAGCTAGAGTCTAAACTCCTTTAAGGGGTTTTATATAGAGGATTATATAGGGGATTATCATAGGGGCTATAAAGGGGGATACTAGGAGTTTAGACTGTGGCTCAAATGATCCCTGCAAAGTTTGTAATATGGTGGATTGAGGAAATCTTGCACCACCCTATATACCCCTTACGATGCGAATTGCAATGCTCTAGGAAACCTAGGCGGTGCAAGATCTCATCATCAGCAGAGATCCCTGCATTATCTATCTTTGTCCCCAGAGTTCCCTAATTTTTAGAAACCCGACGTCTCTGTGCAGAGCTGTCACCCCTGTGGCTTGCGGAAGGAAAAAATCCCTGTAGAACATTTCTCTCAGCTGGAGCACAGGGAAGCAGTAAGGGTGCCTGAAAGCTTTTCTTCATGAAGGGGGAACTTCTATCTAAGGCTATGGTATCCATCAAGCATGAACGGTGATGGTGGGCTCGGATTCGGGTTGAGAAAGCTGTTGTAGTGACCTGTAGGCCCTACAATTGCTTTGCATTTACAAAGGGGCATTTGGGTGAGTCATCATTTGCATGTCGACGCTGTACACAGGTGTGACGTTCTGCGACACGTCGGTCCAGCAGCATGCTGCTTTTTACAGTGGTTCTGGTTAAGCTTCAGGGAAGCCGGCTTGATCACGTTGTGTAATGCCTGGCAGTACAGCTTTGATTGTTCAGTCTTCTTTGAGGGATGTGCAGGCAACATGTTGTGTTGAACGCACCAGACCAGTGTATGCAACAGCTGAAGCGCATGCTTCAAGCAACAAGTGCTGCTTCTAGAGCTATTCTCGACTCACAGGGTTCCATGGTCCTGGCTTTTTTCCCTGAGCTATTAAGTCAAAATTCAGCCAGTGGTGAGGAAAAAAGCCAGGCTAAGTTTTCATGGAAATCATGTTGTAGGGGTCAGGGCGTAGGAAAAAAGCTAGGGTCACAGCCCTGAATGTTTCCCCGGTGCCGGGCCATTGCGGGTTGTAGCCTCCTCTGGGACAGGATCTGACGTTACCGCACAGGGGTGCACGGAGGGAGGGGGGGGGGGGCGCAGCCGCCCAGCACCGGCATAACCACCTGGCACTGGGGTAACCAAAGCTAGGTGGCTCACCAGACCTATGACCCTAGGCAAAAAGCCAGGTGCTGCCTGGAATTTTTCCCAAGCACTTTTCGGTCTCCTGGGACCTAGGGACCTCTGAAAAAAACGCAGGGGAAAAAACCGGCTTTTTTACCTACCATAGGCCTTTGTGCCCACGGAAGGGGGATCAAACAAGACCAAACATGCCCAAACTACAGTAAGATGCAATGAATCAATGCATCGCAAAGGCGCTGCCTGGTCTGTCGACCTTGTAGTCTAACAAGCCTCTGCTACCTCCTCATGGATCAGACGGGAGAAACGCTCATGGGAGCCCAACTCACGCATGGCCTCTGTTGCTGAGCTTTGCATGAGTCATGCAAGTGCCCAAGTCTTCAAGACGTTGTCGCCAAAGTGGATATGGCATGAAGAGCTCAAAGTGGCATGCGGACTCATGAGTACAGCATGCTGGGGGTGCGTTGCCTAAGCCCCCGGTGCTAAATAGAAAAGGAGGCAGCCACATCTCTGACGTGTTGTGGCATCTTGCAGCACAGGCTTTGCTACTGCTATTGGCTCCCGATGCAGGCCGACTTTGGTGCCGGCGAGTGTTTCAAGTCATGGAAGGACTCAGGCTGTTTTGTTCGATGGTTCTGAGGAATTCCTATTGCCTATTGTGGAACATGTCCGCGCCCATTGCTATTTCAACAGACTTGCTGGCAATGTCCAACTTGCTAAACATCTTGGGGTCCAAGGACTTTAAGATTCTGACCTTGCAAGTTGCAAGGGCTGCACTTCCACTTCTTTGTTATCTGTAAAGCTGCCCTAAACCCTAAACCCTAAGCCCTGAACCCTAGCAAATCCCAGAACTTGTGACGCACTTCTCAAGGCTCTATTGGTGCAGGTAGGCTGAAGTCCAATAAGCCTAGAGATTAAAACCCTATACGTTAGGTGGACCCCCACCCAGTAATAGTGACCATAAGGGATAATAAGGATTATATTAGGGTCCTCTTATATTCCTAGTATACCACTATTACAGGGTGGGGGGTCCACCTAACCTATACGGTTTCACGATATTTGTAAGCGCCATTGGTTTCTGAGCCAAGGCTGAAAAAACAGTCATTCAAGGTTCCAGGAGAGACTTTGTGGGCCAAGACTTGCAAGTCTCAAAGCAGAGGTCCTGAAGGATTTCTAAGGCTACAAGCTTCTGCTTGAATTGGGTAACACGTGGCAGGGGATCAGCTTTGGCGTCATCCCTGCCACCTTGCGTGTGGTCTTCATGCCACTTGTCTCAGGGAAAATTCAATCGACAATCTGAGGGCATACTGAAATTTTCCAGGGCTACAGGATTTATGCTGATATTTGCTTGCTGGGTTGAATGCGTGTCACAGCACGTAGACAGGATTTAGCATGGTCTTGAGGGGTCTTGATCCATCGCCTTCCGGAAATCGCAACAACGTTGGCTCGGAGCCAGACATGGATTGATTTCCTTAAAGTTGTGGTTGTCAACTTGCTGGTCACCATTTTGCTAAGACATTGATCTTCCAAGTATTCTTGCATTGCTATGACCTCCTGATGCCCATCAGCCTCGAAACTGCTCCAACCTTGAGCCCATAGGTTGTCACCCGCATCAAGGCGCCCGAAGAGCCCACAGCAAGATCAGCTTCTTTCACAATGGCTTGCGTTGATCTCTTCTCCTCATGTGTGCTCATCGTGCCATTTACAATGACTTCCCCTTCTTGCTCCATAGAGTCTACATCTCCAGGTCAACCGTATCTGATCCTTCAGCCCAGTCCAAGCTACCGTAGGTCAGTGGCCTCCCTCGGATTCCAGCTCGGGTTGGGGGTGGCGCCCCGGCCTCCCAGTTTACTTACTGTGGGTTAGTAGGGAATGAGGGACATATATTGGGGTTATATGGGATGATGGAAAAGAATATGGAAGCTACTACTTGATAATAGTCTAAATAGAATTGGGTTATAGGGGTTATAGCATATCATATAGGGATGATATGGGGACTATATTCCCTTATTCTCTACTAACAACCAGCAAGATTAAGGATTTGAGCCTTGAGATTTGGATTTGACATGCTGTTGGACCCTAGACTGAGGCACCCTCTTTAGTTCAGTTCAGGGGATGTCCTTGCATATAGCCGCCTAGGCCCCGACCCTCGTCTTAGAGCCTGGTTGCACCAGAACCTTTGGGCCCTCATCCATATAGTCTAAAAAGCCATGGATCTGGAAAGCTGAAACTCTGTGCGCCTGATTGACAGGATACCGCTTTTGGAGCTGCAGCTCGCAAGTTGCAAGCTTTGGATCTGTCAGCGTGTGTAAGACAGCATTTGTTGATATAGGTTTTGCCGTGTCTTGAAGCCAAGTAGCTAGCAGCGCCCTCAGGAGATGTTTGCTATTGAATGCAACGATTTCCGGAATTGTTGCATCAAGCCTCCACAAAGTCAGAGAGACACGTTCCTGGTGGTTGCGCTCCGTCCCTTGTGAACTCAACCCCAACACTCTGATCTTCCCCACAATGAACCCACCGCTCCCACACAGACCTGGGTACCTCAAACCAATATATATGCAGGTGTCCACTCCAAGATCAAAACCCCCAACTGATAAGCTAGCACCCTAAAATAATTCCCTCGAAGCCCTACATGCAACTTCTACATCTCCCAAACCAGAATCCCTATTAGAAAGGGGAGTCCCTGATTTTGGTAACCCCCCAACATACTTCCTACATGCTCACTTCAACCCCTGGATGGGAAACCTCAGGCAATGCTCCGAAAATCTGGCGGATGAAACGGGCGCGCCGCCCCGTTCGCCGCTGGAGGATTGGGAGGCCATGCCATTTCGCACCAAGCACAACAAGAGATGGATTGACCAAGAATTTATGGATTTTGTGGGGCTTGGGTTCAAGACCTTCACGATTGCCTGCTGCTATCCAGCGGTTCACGCTCAAGGCCTCAGCCCCAGCTCCCTCACTCCTTTCGTCAGGGCCCCAAG